TCCACCAACAGCAGCTGGTCCAGTACAAGATATTACCTCGCCCCCCTTGTCTCTCTAATATCATGGGAGCAACACGACTACAACAATACTGCAAACACAATAAATCAATAACATTTCCCAAAGGAAATCTGCACCGAGAACATGTACCTTCTGTTTATATAATGGCATACCCTGTATCCACCTGCGTTTGGACACTGTGGGAACAATATGCACACGCTTTGCATGCCCTAATGGGACAACAGGGAGCTTCATTGCTCGATAAACCATCAACCCAACTATAAAGAATGTGAGACAGGAAACTGACAGTACAACTTTATTTTGTATTTCATACAAACGCTCTCCCCCAAATGCTTTACAGAGTTAAATAATAGAGTTAACAGACACTTACGGTATTTACAAGGTTCATTCTTGTCACTAGCCCGGTACGGCAGGTAGAACAGCAGTCTGGCTTTAGTCATTTGTTACGAGACAAATAATGTAAGCGAAATGGAATCAGTCCAGGAACTAATTTACCACAGGATATTATTGTGTGAGGTGGCTCCATTTTTAAGCTACTCAGGGGAGCAAATGAGTTGATTACTCATAAGAAAGAGTGGCCATGAGACAAGTGTATGGAAATTTTGATTTGTGGGAACTTATTTTCAAATGAAAAGAGAGGTAAGTTTGAATCCCTAAGGTCAGATCTTGCCAGCAGTTATTTATATAACAGCTAAACGAGACCACTGAGTATGCCTAAGTGAATGGTTTGCTTGATTTATACATTCAAACGCAAGGGTAATGAAGCAATTTATGAATGTCTAAGGTGGTGCCTCATGTTAGTGTTACAACACATCTGAAGAGTATGCTGGACACCTGCAGTGTGAAAAACCGCCTTACAAATGGAGCTGAACAGGAGACAGAGGTGGTGGAAAGTGGTAGATGGCTCAACCTGACAAATACGTCGTTCTCACAACAATACATTTGGAAAGCTGGGTAGGCCAGTCTCGTAGTACACTTCCTCCTGCCCAGTCAACTCTGCACTCAATCCTGTTTGTTCAGAAACTTCCATGTTCTCCTCTATGTCCCTATGCTTCCGACTTATTGCCACGATTATTATTACACGTGCCTATCAGGCATTAACTATCATTCTTTGTTGCCACAAATATTTGAATAATGAGAAAATGGGTAAAGGCCTGAAGAGGATGTTTGACTATTTATTTCTCTGTGGGAGCCAGAAGGATCTAAAGTGTCTGTTTCGAGTCAAGCAAATCCAATGGGCACACATGCTTGTGTCCCGTACCTCATATTACGCAATGGCTTTCTGAGAGAGGGCACTTACAATAGGGGAAAACAACTTTACAATCTTAAATCTTGGTGTTTGATTAAACAGATACTTCATGATTAAAAAGATACGTTCCATCTGAGTATGTCAAGGTGCTTGACAACATGAACTCAGCTTCACAACAACCATATGAAGAAGTCTTACACTCATTTTACACATGGGGAAACCGAGGCAGAGAGCAGGGTTAAGTGACTTGCCCCAGGCACGACTGGCAGCACACCCCATATCTCTTGACTCCTAGTCCTGGATTATCATGATTTCTCATTAAGCAGACTATTAGCTAAAGGGCACATGAGAAAATGAACATGAACTTTTAAGTATCAGCGGGTAGCCGTATTAGTCTGTATCTACAAAAACAACAAGAAGTCTGGTGGCACCTTAAAGACTAACAGATTTAAACTTTTAAGTGGAGCAATAAAGCTAGAGGAAATGAGCCACAAGCAACATTTATAGAGGAAGTGCAAAGAGACCAATTGTCAGCGATGATACATCAGCACGTAAATACCCGAACACAACCCCAAAACCAGGTAAGGCAGGCGCCCACTTCACAAAACCTATTATAACCAATTACGCCGGGCCCAGTAAGCTGGGCTGAGGTTAATAAACTAAGTACAAATGAATGTGAATGACAATTGCAACGTAATAAGCTTCCGGTAGTGGCGGGCAGACACAGTGCAATAATATTTTATACTTGATTAGGAGTTTAGCAGTACAGCTAATCATTTACACTTGTCCAAAGTATTAATGTTCATATGGTCCCATCCCTTAAGAAAGACTAAGCATATGTAAGAGGAGACCTGTACTTAGCTATCTATGTGACAGAACCCCCTTATGTTACCTGCACCGTAATCATTGAACCCGCTCCTCACTGAAGGGAGTTGCAAACGACGATGTGGATGGATTTACAGACCTGATGCAGGTTTTGATGGTGAGCACAGGATAGTAAAGGGGGAAGGGTATTTTCCATTACCAGGAGAAACACATGGGGCTAAGGGATAGTGCATCAGTGCCATGGCCTTTTGTCTCTTGGGACGAACACTGGGTTCAAATCCTGAACAGATCACAAGCGAAAACAAGCTACTGTCTAAACCACATTTTAAAACTACTGCTCCATTCTGCGGGATGGGTAACTTTTGTTTGGGGGAAGTTCAGGCCGGGCATGGAAGGTGCATTGTTGCTCAGGATTAAAATGCATAACTCTGAAGAAGGAAAAAAAAAAAAAAAAGAGGCAGCCCTTATTTACCAAAATGTCAAGCTTTAAGCCATGCTATTAGGCTCTCATTTCCACTAGCACCGCTGTAAATCACTGATCCCCGAGTGCATGAAACAAAAGCGAGAATGGACATGCTGCTGTCAGCTGGAATGACCCTCACTCTCTCACACAGAGAAATGCCCTCACCCTGCCACCAGAAGAATTCCTGCAAATGAGTTAGACATACATGAACGGTAGCAGCCAGACGTGTCTGCGCTGCTGTTAAGTGGCACCTGGACTCAGGATTTCCTTACCCTGGCTTCTCATGCAGCCTGCCAATACTACAGCACATTCAGCACTAGGAAACCTTGAATACCAGCGCTATGCCAGCAACCGGTTTCACCAATACACGGTTAACCACGTGTCCCATTTCTACCTCCCTCCTGTGATCCATCATAGCTTCAAACAGAATACAGAATATGCCACTCAAACCCTCACAGCCTATCTGTGTCATCGTGTGATGTAACAGCCATAGGAAGGATGATTTCTACAGGTGATTTCTATGCCTAGCACTAGCCAACAGATCTTTTTTTCTGACCTTCTTCTGAGACCCCATTTCTCAGACCCCTTTTAGGGAAAACCGACAGGAGAAAGAGGGGCAGGCCGGTTGCCCCATCTATACTCTTTTGTGCCTGCCCAGAAGAGGCAGCTGTGTATCAGAGTGCCATGTTTTGCTTTCCTCACAATTCTCTGCACTAAGCATGGCCGGCTCCAGGCACCAGCGAAGGCAGCAGGTGCTTGGGGCAGCCAATGGAAAGGGGCGGCACGCCCGGGTCTTCGGCGGCAAGTCCCTCAGTCCCTCTCTTCCTCTTTGAGCTGCCGCCGAAATGCTGCCGATCGGCTTTATCTTTTTTTTTCTTTTTTCTTCAGTTCGCCGCTTGGGGCGGCAAAAAACCTGAAGCTGACCCTGGCACTAAGGGGCTGGAGTAGGGGAAAGGGGCTATTGCTCCGAGGCAGAAATAGCACCCCCCATCAGATAGTAACTCTTTTTGATATTGATCAATAATGCTGTCCTGGACTGTCCAATTCAAACCACAACACATTCTTTTCTGGGGAGTGATCAAAACCTATGATCTGCCCGGAACGGAACTGAATGTTTGCACTGAATGTTTTACTAGGAGCCGTGTGGAATGCCGTGGGGAGGTCTTGTGTTTCTCAAGAGTTACTGTTGATGCTCTTTAACTGCTAAGAAAAAGACCAGAACTATAACCAGGATACGGTAACCCTGGCAACATGCAGTTCAACGTTCGGCTTTCTGACACAGAAAAAAGGTGATTTGTTTTCCGTTCTGTTCTTAAACCACGTCTATGGTTCAAAGGTCAGATATTCCAGCAAGCTGAGTGTCTCCAACCCCCACTGATCCCAAAGGGAGTTGGGGGGACTACAGTCCACCAGTTTTCAGTGGAATGCACTCTACCTCTCTCTGAAGGGCAAATTCAATTCATAAGGGTGGACTAATCTCATGAGCTGCCTAGTGTATGGTGGTTATTGTGGCAACTGCATCCTACTGCCTCTTCCAATGGGAGAGATCAGCAGCAGCACACATGACCTTTCTAAAAGAAAAATGTTTCCAGGCTTCTTATTTTTAATGTGCTGGTAATGCAGGGGTAAGGTTTCCAAAGCAGTGCACGGGGCAAATTGGCCACATGGCTTCCATTAGCAGGAGTGGCAATCAAGCAGCCAAATCTCAGCTCACAGTTTACAAAACGGCCCAACGTTCAGCCAATACTGGATGTCAGATGCCGTTCCAGCAGGATGCCCAAGGAAAATAAAATCCTCCAAACACCAGAACAAAACATCTCTGCCGACAAAACCAAACATTTCCCCAAAACAAAAGGGAAACCAAACCTTGTTAACGGCTCAGGTTTGCGCTGAGGAGCAGTGGGCCCGAATCTGATCCCACTCACTCTAGACCAGGAAGAGTAGCTGCATTTACCAGTTCTGATGTAACTTGCTACGTTCTTGATGGATTTGGCTATTGGTTCCACAGCTGTGAAATTACAGAGAGCCAGAATGGCAGGTGGCTTTAAGAGCTGCTGTACAATTCTAGGGGCCACTGAAAACAGCAAAAGCTGGATCAGACCTATGATGAACAAAAACAAAGATACCCTGTGCTGGGGGAAGAACAAGGCAGTCAAATTTAGGAGCTGAAGACCAGTTCAGGAATCACCCAGGCAGCCCCAGTACTATTTCGGGGTCCTAAGCATTAGATAACTAGAGAATTCCAGGAACTATAAGGAAACAGAAAAGCAAACCTTATAGCACAGGGGTTCTCAAACTGGGGGTCGGGACCCCTCGGAGGTCATGAGGTTATTACATGGGGGGTTGCAAGCTGTCAGCCTCCACCCCAAGCCCCGCTTTGCCTCCAGTATTTATAATGGTGTTAAATATATTAAAAAGTGTTTTTAATTTATAAGGGGGGTCACACTCAGAGGCTTGCTATGTGAAAGGGGTCACCAGTACAAAAGTTTGAGAACCACTGTTATAGCAGAATGTAGGTGCACAATCCTTTTTGATTGAAACCTGGATCAGGTCTGTAGATCACGTCAATGCCATGTCATGTAACTAGTGAATTTCACTGTGGCTGCTTTTTAAAAAGATCATTTTTGCCCAGGACAGTCATCTCTGCTTAATATCAGATCTTGTCTGAAACTCTCTCCACCCCACCACCGTGCTGCATTGCAGGAACATAGCTTCCACATGGTCTCAATGTGTTACTGAAAGGTATGGATCTAAAGCAATGCAATAAAAGTTAGTTTCTCTTGTTAAAGTGCCTTATTTCCTTTGAGCTTTTAAAATGTTTTCCTTACATTTTAAAATGAAGAGAAAAAAAAGAATACTGGTTTTATATGAAACATAGTAGAACATTAATCAGTATTTACACAGAACTTGGACAAGGCCATGGCAGAACTTATTTAAAACCCCCCAGCACAACAACCCAAAAGCAGAGCGTCAAAAGGAAGGAAAAAATCTGTTCATATGCTTTCAACACCATCCCCTTGAGATCCCTAGTGTAAACCGCTTTATCTCTGAATAGGCATTTTACTGAGACGCTAGTAATCGGAGTTGATTACAGACATATTTTAAAACTAGTGGCGTGCGTGTGGGTGGGCGAGTTGCCTTTTGACCTCTCCAGGAATAGAGTATGCACTTAGACAAGTTCGACTTTTGCGTTTGGATAAACAGCGACAACATCATATCCTTCGGGGGGCTTAACCCTTTCCTTTGCGTGCGTTTCGCAGTACAGCTGCTCCTCGATGAAGAAATATCCCCTCTGCTTCAGGTTTAGGCCACAGTCATTGCACATGAAACATTCTGGGTGGTAGAGCTTGTCCCGAGCTTTGACAATGGTCCCTCTGTTGAGCGTAGGAGAGAAGACAGATTACACACCAAGCTGATGTCAAAAGCAACAGCGAGCGCACTCTGGAGCAGTTTGTTCCACTGCCCAGCATAGCAAAGAAACATGAAAGTAAATGGCATTTAGTGGCATTTTGAAGATATCATTTGACCCCTGCAACCTCTTCTGCCTCGGTCTCTAACACCCCCTTTGCTCCTCCTGCTGGCCATCTAAAATCCCACGGTGAAAATTCTCTCCCTCAGCCATTGCTCCTATCATCTCAATCTCTCCTTCAAGGGCCCAATCCTGCTCCCATTGATGTCAGTAGCAAAATCCCTGTTAACGTCAGTGCCTGAAGCCCTGGACTGGCTCCTCACTGCCTTCTGCATCGAGTTCTCCTCAGCTTCAAGGTGCTGCTCAACTCTCCTCTCCATCATGTTCCCCCCAGCTCCTTTTTTGCCCCACCCACACCTCTCAACCTGGTGGTCCTCTTTGCTTCCTTCTCCCATGCCTGTATCCACAGCACCTCCCACATGGTCACCTTTGCCTGGGACACCCTTCCCATCCCAATGTGGCACTTCTGTATCCGCTACTTCTTTACATTCTTCCTTGAAAACCTATTTCTTTCTCAAAGCCTATCAGCATAAGGCTGTCCCTCCACCTCCGCCCCTCAAGGGCCCAGGTGGGTGAGGTAATATCTTTTACTGGACCAACTTATGTTAGTAAGCTTCTGTAATAAAGATATTGCCTCCCCCGCCTTGTTGACTTTTGTCTGTCTGTTTAGGGATCATGTCTCCCTCGTGTTCTGTACACCCAGCACTTTCCCAGAGACACTTGGCACCTTCCAGGATTGGACCTTGAAGGGGATGTACATGGTAAGCCCTTTCCTACTCTTGGGGGTTGTTGCCTAACAGCCTGAATTCCTTACCCCATGCCTTGGCATGACGCTGGGTCTGGAGCAATGGTTCTCAACCTGTTTACCATTGTGGGCTGCAAGCCCATGGGCTGCAGGCTGAGAACCACTGGTCTGGAGTATCTACATTCAGCCAGGATGATGGCAAGGAGACCTGTCTGTGAGAGCAGGGAGCCATCCCCTTAGGTTAAAGCATTAGCCCTTTCACATGCGAATGTCTACACGAGCCATTTGTTGGAGATCTCCCACCATTGCGCTCCCCCCGTGATAGCAAGGATGGAAACATGAACACGGACAGTGCACAGGAACTTTTACCATGTTGTCAGAAAGCCCCACTTGGACTTGCTCTAAATGACGTATTCTGCATACAACATTGCAACAGTGGGAGCTTTCTCAACCCCCCCCCCCCAAACCCCCTACCACGCAGGCTAGTCAAGCAGACAAAGCCCTACAGACTCTGCAGTCATCTACTAGGACTGACCAGAACAACTTCAGCATGAAAAACACTGGCCTCTTCCACTTGAGCCAAATGATAACTCGGTTTGCTGTGGGATAATAAAGGGCTGTAATAATGTCTGGGGCCATTCACATGCATTAGGCCAGTTTATTACAATAAGCATGGTAAAATCATATGCTTCATTAGAAATCAATGACACATCACTGTACTGGTCATATTTCTTTACATCTTGAAAAGGCAATCCAAACTGTACTGGGGAATGTCACCTTATTCCAATTTTATATCTTGTGTACAGGTCTGGCTGGCAAAAAATATGAAGACTTGGAGGACTCTGCTGTAAATATTAATAGACCCACTTCTATTAGATGAATACCACAATAGAGGTCTTGTGATTAGTTAATTGTCTTGTTCCATTGCATGGTGTTATTGACCTCTAATGCTATGGAGAGATCATGTACTTACACGATCCCATTTCCACATCTGGTGCACTCAGGAAGCATCTGCAATCCAGACATGGCACCACCAAGTTTTGATACTGGAGATTTGATGTTTCTTGGGCCAGTGAGTCGGTCGAGTTTTTCACCTGCCAAGAGTTTTGAAAAGACACAGATTAAAAGTTGACCTCTATTGTAGAGGACAGATGTGATGATTCTGCCTGGGAAAACATGATATATATATTGCAACAGAAAACTCTTCTTGCAATTTGCGTAACAAAGAAAATAGTGGGACCAATCAGACTTTAGCAAGTTCAGCATTTAAGTTCACAGAACACTGATAGGTCTCACATAAATCCATTGTGCATCATAATGAAGCCAGCAGGGTTAGTAACTAACTGCTCAGAATGGTAGCAATGAAATGGCTGTAATATAACCATTGATTACCACATCACCATCTACTCGTACATCCTCAATGATCTAAACAGACCCCATCAATCTAAACAGACCAGGGCTGAATTTGTTTGACAGACTTTTTTGGGAGCTAAGAGGCAGAGAGATGGGGAGAGAGAAGCAAACTGATGAAATCATAAGAGAGCAGAACAGAGGGAGTGCGTTCTATCTGAGTAAGATTAGATGTATTGTTTTTTATATCTATGACCAGTCAAAGAGAAGAAGATTAAAACCTTTTGGAGCACAGGGCAAACCAAAAAAAGAAAGAAACCAAACAATAACACAGTTAAGTGCATTTTTCTTCTTAGGAGATTTATTTGTTTTATTACATCTGTCGTGAGTCAGGAAGACTTTCGTGAGCCTAAAACAAAAGTAAAACAGCATGTTAGAAGCTGACTTTTTTCTTGGCATTAAGTTTTGTTTTACATCGGAGACCAGCCAAACTAAAAGAAAGCAATGAAAGCTTTATGCATAGTGACTGGCACTCGCTCACATATATGAGCATATATGTGTGTGTGTGTGTGTGAATACATATATATACACAGAGAGAGAGAGAGACAGAGAGAGAGAGTATACATATAATGAGTGTTTATATATAATGTATACACTCACTCACACAGATACATGTACATATTGCCAAAAACTATAAAACTTAACAACGTACACGACTAACTGCGAGGTTTTCCAGAATCCCCTGTCGCCCACCAGATCACAGCTGCAATTTTGAATATGCTCATCCAAGCCCCCATTCAGCAAAGAACTTTAAGCATATGCTTAATTTTAGGCACATGCTTAAATTTCATTGACCCCCATGGGACTTTAGCACGTGCTTGCGAGCTGTGCTGAATAGGAGTACGTACTCACCACACAGCTACTTTGGAGCTTTAATAGCTTTGATTCTGCCCTAAAGTGCCTACTACAGCTTAAAAAAATTCTGTGTATATAAAAGTTAATTCTTAGCATTTTTAATCAACCAGGGTATCATTTTTTCAGGCTGTTTATTGAACTTGTCCCTATTGTTACAAACAGATTCACACAGTATATTTCTGACTTGCATTACTCAGTGGTGCGTCCCTTTCTTTTTGCTTAGAATTCATTTTCCCAAATGATTTGGGGATGAGAGAAACACCTCCTCTTCCTTTTTAGAATTAGGACGTAACAGGTAGGACAACTTGCTTTGCTTTTCAACACAGAAAGACAGATCAGTGCATTTCAGCTCCAGCAGTTACCAGCATGACTGTACTTTCATCCTTATAGAAACCGTTTGCAGTTAATGTAGAGGAGGCTATTCAGTTATAGAATTAAGAGGTGAGCAAAGGGCCCAAAAAACTGTCTCCCTCCCAAAGTCAGGGTGTTTTTTTTGGGAGGGTCTTTTAATCATTTCTCTGTCTTTGCACAGTGACAGAATCTTAGCCATTCACACTGAGCCAAAGCATGATCTTGCTCATGATTTTACAATCAAACAACTAAGATCATGAAAACCAAAGACCCTCCCAGCCCCCCATGAGTAAAACACAGTGTTAATGTTTTCAGAAGACTTGGAATAAGACAGCCCCTCGCTCTATGCGTGACTGACTGCCCAAGCAAGCCAGTGAGACTGTTAAACCCAAGAGGCCTCCAGTGCGCTTGGCTGCACTCAAGCAGAACTTGTTTGCTGAGATTTTCTGTTGAGCATGGACTGACACAATCGCGCACAAGGTCGGACCTCACAGCACTGAGAGACGCTGTATTTGAGCTATTCATATATTCATTTGCCAGCTTTTAAAATATCACCCTACGCCTGAAGCTGCTCCTGTTTCTAAGCTAGGGAACTGGGATAACTTCGACAGAGTGGGGATAGAGAGAGATATTTTAAAACAAGGCAGGATCTTCGAAACTCTCACCAGAATGCTAGGTCCTTTCCCTCTGTTTCTGCAGGCACAGAGCCCCACAATAATTTATGTTCCTCAGCTAGGCAGCTACTAACTTTAACTAAACATTCTTGTCTATGCTTTGTGGTTAGGGCTCATCTTTCATGGTTGAGGGGCACCCATTGAGGCAACTGTTATGTTTCTTTACAAATCCTGTCAGATTCCCAGCAGGAAACACTTCTTATTAGAGGCACAGTGTGAGGCCAATCATCATAAAGAAAAAATACTGCTTCTGGCAGGAAAATTTTCCATATCCCCAGTCCTTCATGTGAACTACCAGGTTCGCTAAGACTATGAAGATCCTGCCTTTAAAGGGACACTGTACACTAGTCTTGAACCCGAAACGTATATTTCTTCTTTTTTGTGTTTATTTTTAAAAAGGGGGGAAAGGAAGATTTGAAGAACCCTGGTACGAATTTTAAAAATTTGCATCATTTAAAAAACAACAATAAAACTAAATCTCTTAAACGGAATCTCTAGTACTGAGACTCCCCAATACAATAACATTTCCCTAGTTCACCAGAACCCAGAAGTGAAATAATTTACCCCAAAGTGAAAGGGATTAGTCTATTTCCATCATCCAAGCTGAGTGAAATGCAAAAGAAGCTTAAATTAAGAAAAATACATTCAGATTTTAAAATGTTTAATTTTTAATTACCTATGCGTTTTATGCTGACAGAGTCTCTTCAGAAGAGAGTATTTCATTTTTAATCCTTTACAAAATGAACCTCAGTAACTTAACAATCAATGCTCCTGGCCTGATTCTGTGGCTGCAAAACTTGTCAGGGATTCACCAGCCTCATGTAAAAATCACTAGGAGAACAGAACCAGGTGTAAAGTAGGAGGGAAAAAAGGATGGTGTTGGCCTAGAATCAAGGTCTGAATTCTCCAGCTTGCTGACCTTTTGGTTGGTATCTTTCATCAGTTTTGTAATTCCAGACTCTGACAACACTGTGCTGCCATGTTACCAGAGGTTGGCATTGTAATAAACTCCATGTGGGAGGGCAGGGGGCAGTTCTTCAAAAAATCTTTTTAAATAGTGTTGCCCTTTTAAGATACCCTATTAAAATCTTGTAAAAGCAAGGCTCCACTGTTCTAGTTACTTCTCATCATGAGAGGATGGAAGAAGGGGAGGAGACAACAGTCATTTACGAGCTTCAACTCCAACACTTTCTACTCGCTTCTTCCTAATAATGAGGTTCTTGGGTATGTACAGTTGTGCACTGTCAAAAGACCCAAAGGCACAATCGAATCCTGCTGTTACTGCCAGCTAATCATGCATTTGCCCTGCCAGCCTAGAATGGAATAGAGCGTCTATGCCTAGGAGTCCCATGGCTAATCTCATATTTCGCTCTTTTCCAAAAGTAAGTTATTGGCCTTTAATAATAAATGGAGATATCCTATCTCCTAGAACTGGAAGGGACCTTGAAAGGTCATCGAGTCCAGCCCCCTGCCTTCACTAGCAGGACCAAGTACTGATTTTGCCCCAAATCCCTAAGTGGCCCCCTCAAGGATTGAACTCACAACCCTGGGTTTAGCAGGCCAATGCTCAAACCACTGAGCTATCCCTCTCTCCTTGCCAACATAGCCTAAGAAATGTAAACGGCTGCTAGGGTTGAAAGCTGATTTTCCCAAAGATCATAGCTTATTCTCAGGCCTCCCGCACGCACCCAGGCCTGGCCTTTGAGATCTGTAACACTCATGGACACACATTCTTCCAAGTCTTGGAGGACACCAGGTCACACTGTGGGTGTGGGGGAGCAGTGCCACCTAGAGTGCACGGATGATGTTTTTAAGGCTCCCACAAGCTCCCTCAGAGCCACTTGCCTACAGCAGGGGACTGGCAGTAACTCAATGATTGTAAAGCAAGGCGGTGATATTCGACGGAACCCAGAATTATCTGCCTGCTAGACCTGGGTTCAGTGATATGGACACAGTGGGCAGTGCTTTGGGATGGCGGGGTGCAGAAAATTGTTATGCTCCAGCCAACTATGGCCACAATGTGGCGGGCGGAGAGACTGCCAGCCCAAACACCAAATAACATTGGGCCACTCTGTGGCACCTCTTTTCTTCAACTCTCAAATGGCTTTGCAAACATTTGGGCCCAATCCTGCTCACCACTGGAAGTTGTGTTACTGATTTCAGTGGGTACAAGATATTGCATGTCATGAATTAAGTCTCGCAATAGCCTAGTGGGGTAGGAAAATATTCTCAGTAATTTTACTCACAGAGAAACTGAGGCACAACAAAGCTGTGTTACCAACTCTGGCAATTTTATCCCAAGCCTTGCAATAGTTGTTTTTCCTTAAAGTCCCAGCTCCTTGAGTCATGTGGGAATATCAGTCTTTCTGCAGAGAAAAGCTTCAAAATTTAAACCCTAAAGGCCCCAAACTCACAAAGTGAACAAAACATTTATTGTTTAAAATCTCGTGGCTTTTTAAGACAATCTCATAATTTTTGCAGTCTGGCTCATGATTTTTGTATGGTTGGAGACGAGTGGACAACGTTCAGCTAAAATATGGGCTTTGTTACGTTCTATAGGAAGCTGGCTGCAGGACTGTGAGTATAACTGAGACCGCTGACTCCCATTATTAGGTTTGTTCATGTAAATGCCATTTATTTAAATAGAAAAGGTAGTCGAGGTCATATCTTTTATTGGACCTTCTGTGGGTGAGAAAAACAAGCTTTTGAGCTTACACAGCGCAATCCTTCAGGTCTTCAGCACCTGAAGAAGAGTTCTGCATAAGTTCAAAAGCTTGTCTGTCTCACCAGCAGAAGTTGGTCCACTAAAAGATATTACCTCACCCACCCTGTTTCTCTAATATCCTGGGACCAACATGGCTACAACAACACTGCGTACATTTATTTAAATAGGTGACTGATATTCTATTAATTATGCCCCCAATCGTTTCTAAAATATTACATCTGTATGGATACTTCTAGGAAAACAGCCGCAGTGTGCATCCAATCTGCAAACCTGGACACCTTCCACAGGATGCCTGTAGCGGGGTGGCTACCCCGCTCCTGCCTGAGGGGTTTAAAACAGCCCTGGCAGAGGGCTGGGGCAAAGGGAAAAGCTACTGGGCTGATTGGGGAAGTAGCCACAGCTGGGCCACGCCCCAATCGGGCCCCAGCGGGCCGGTATAAGAAGGCTGGGAGCCAAGAGCTCAGCAGTCTCTCTCTGCCTTCAGAGAGAGAAGGGCCTGGCTGCAGGGAACTAGACATAGGGTACCTGTAGTGGAGCAGGGCTGGGGAAAGGCTGAGGCGCTGGGGAGCTCCAGCCTGGATAGCCCCAGGCTGTGGCCTAGTATTAGGCCAAGGGGTACTGGGGTTGCAGAGGGCAGCCCAGGGCTAGGGCAAGGCAGCAGGTCCAAACCCCCCTTGCCAGTGATGAGTGGCCGATACTGCAGTCTGCACCAGGGAGTGAGGCCTAGTTGGTGACTGGCAGTGGCCTAGTGCTGAGGCAAGGTGGGGATAGTGGGTGTGGTTCCCCTGGGAGGGGAGACCTACTGTGTGGGTATTGCCAGGGGGCAGCACCCAGAGCGAGGGACACGGGGGCCAGAGAAGAGGACAAGGCGGATCACTGGCCTGCAGAGGGCGCTCCAGAGGCTGGTGAGCTAATTCCCTGGACGACCAGCAGGAGGTGCCGCAGGGGTGAGTCTGGATCTTTTACAATGCTCAACGTCTGAGTTTGGATGCAGTAAGCACACAGCTGCTAATCTGGGCTGTGTGTTCAGGTACCCAGGTCTGAAACCGCCATTGGGGGATTCATTGCTGGAGAGGTGTTCGCATGTCCAGTCATTCCAAGTCTCAGCACAAAGGAGGTGAGATTGAAAACAACAGGAACCAGAACAGTCAGTTTCTGAGTTTCCTTTCAAAGTGCTTTCCAGGCCTGTGGAATGATTCAGTAGAGAATTAAACAGAGGCAGTCAGCCAGGTCTTTTTCTCAAGGGATGATGTGGCTCAGCCCAGAGTGTTGAGTCTAATCCTTCCACAGGCAAGAAGCCAATGTATGCGCACCTGTGCAATAACAGGGCAAATCTGAGCAGAGGTTTGCCAGTGACCAGGTAATGCCTTTGCACACTGTCACAATCTCATTTCCCAGCATCCACATAAGCAATGAAAGCAGATGAAGGTTGCTGGCTGGGTTAGTTGCTGAAGTGGTTGTGGCCGGTGGAACCGGAGTGCCAGGAGCATGTGTGAACAAGCTCTCCACAATGGAAGTGCAGAGGAGGTTGCTAATCCTGTTTGAGAGCTTGTGGAAGTGGGAGAGTCAAAATCCAGTCTTTGAAGTATCCCAGTACTGAACCAAAGACATTCCTGCCCAGTCACACACCACATGCTTTATGTAGAAGTCTACAGCTCTGCGTCAAGCACTAATCTCTTTCAAGTGGTCCAGACACACCAAACTGGGCTGGATGAAAGCAAGGCTGTGGTTTTGTTCTCAAGTTCAATACATTTCTTTCCACATACTTAAGATCAGTGTCACTGCATCATATCAATTGAGGGGCAGATTTCAGCTGTCCCAGCCCATGTGTGCAACTTAAAGGAGACAATGCAAAGAGATCTTCCTCACTTGCGCCTCTGCCACAGCTTGGGTGGGTGCTGTCTGGTGGGGTTAGCCCCCTGACATAGCTAGAAAGGATGAAGAAAGAGAGGTCCAGTGGTTAAGGCTCTGGCCCATGACTTGGCAGAGCAGGGTTCAAATCCCTGTGTGACCAAAGGCAAGTCACTTAACCTCTCTGAGCCTCAGTTCCCCATCTGTAAAATGGGAATAACAGCATTTCTCTGCATCAAAGGGGTGTTATGAGGATAAATACACTAAAGATTGTGAGGTGTGCAGATTCTACAGTAACAGGCAGCGAGAGTGGAGCCAACTCTTGCAGTAGATGGGCAAAGAGTGTCATGGCCTCATATCCTGTTCCCACTCATCAGAGTAGCTGGGTACAGCTGCAGGGGGATGTGTGACTACACTCTGCTGAGGTTCAAAGAGTGGCATTGCTTCTTCTTCATTGTATGCTCCCCAGCATAATTCTGGCAAAGTCAGCAGAAATTCTCCCAGCCATTCCTGTTGCACTGTACCACAATATGCTCAGTGTTGTAAAGCCAGGATCTGGCCTGCTCTGATGAGTGAGCACCATACAGCTAACTCTGTTGGGAGCAGTCACCTTAGTATCAAAGCACTGATGTTCCAAGCTTGGAAGGACTTTTAACTTGTATCTTTGGATCATAAAAACAAATCATTCTTCCTGTTACACCAGCACAACCTCATTGAAGTCAACAGGATTGCTCCAGCATAGCTGTGAAGAGCATCTGACCCATTGACTCTATCATGAGAAAAAGAGAAGGTGTTGAAACATGTAGGTTTTCCCTCTTGTACGGCATATTATATTCACAGGTAACAAACTGATTTAGAAGACCATAAGAATTAGGAGGCTTGGGGACCCTTTGGAAAACTCCGCACGTACAAACAATCTGAGATGCTGTCTTCCTTACCATTCTCTCCGGCTTCTAACATGCCCTGCAAATACCGGAACGATCCAGACTGCTTAGGCTCCGATGCTGGCTTTTCATAATCCTGGAGCATCTTGTACACATCTGACTCCATGTCAATCCCATTTCTGCTTCTCGGGAGAGGTTTTAAAGGGTCGGCGCTATTTAAAAGCAAAGCAATGTCAGATGGTAAGCAGCCATTGCATTCAGGGGAGGAACAAGATTTCCAGTTAATTAGGGATGGGTGAACTCCATGGGGTTGGAAGTTTTATGAGCAGCCCCAAATGTTCTGTGCTTCACCAAACAAGTCTGCATTTCATTAAACTTTTTCACCCATAAATTATATCCACGTTTATTTTCACAGAGATTTAATTAAATCCCCCATTCCCATGTTTTCTGTCTATAGCAAAGTTTGCTCTAGGGAAACAAACATGCAAACCATGAAAGATAAACTAGTATGTTGCTTGCTCTTCTATTGTGCAATATAACTAAGACTTGACCGGTTACCAAGAGTCTTAGAAAAAGGGCAGCTGCTAAAAAGCTTCGTAAATTAGTGTGCCACACATGGAATGTACTGAAAAAAATCATTAAATTAATGACTCAGTGCTATGGAAGCCATCCATCCATCGTTAAATGACCCGACATCTGGGGTATTTTTTTGTTGTTGCCAGCCACAGCCCCTGTGGATATGATGTTATCTCCGGTGAACGCACCTTTCTAATCCAGTTTCCTTCTGGATAATTCTGCATTGAAAAGGCCAATGGTATTTGTCCCAGAAAGTCCAAGTGTTAAAAAAATAATAAAAATACCACAAAAATGACCACTAAACAAATTGATAAAACACCCTCCAAACTTCCTATTTTATCACATTCTCCCCCATGTTCTTTGATCCCACATTGTCTGTTCAGATTGTAAATTCTTTGTCTGTGTTCAAAGCACCTAGCACAATACTGGGTGCAATTGAAACAAACAATATATAGTAATGAAGGCCCTGATTCAACAATCCATCCTAATACAGCAAAGCTCTAAAAGGACATACTTATGTTCCATTCACTTCAAAGAGACTTTAGCAAATGCTTACGCATGTTGTTGAACAGAGAAGGTCTTAAGCATATGTTTAAATGCTTTTGTTGAACTGGGGCCTAATAGCATAATATAGCACCTGGGGGCAAGGAGTTTGTCTTACTTGTCTGTAAAGTGCCATGCACGTCAATGTCTTTATAAAAACAATAAAAATAGCCAGAGCTCTTAATCCCCGTCAGACAGCAGAACACATCTTACTCATCATCTGAATCACTGTCTCCACCAGCATTGCATTCATGCCAGTACATAAATCAAACAAAATTCACTTTCAACAATGCATTTTCTGGAAGTAATCTGGATCTCAGACTCCTGCTGTGCCATAGGCGCCAACTCCGTGGGTGCTCCGGGGCTGGAGCACCCATGGAGAAAAATTGGTGGGTGCTGAGCACCCACTGGCAGCTCCCTGCTCCAGCTCACCTCCACTTCCTCCGCGAGCGCGCCTCTGTGTCCTGCTTCTCCTCCCTCCCAGTGCTTGCACCACGAAACAGCTGTTTCGAGGGGCAGGGATGGAGGAGGGGGAACGTGGCGTGCTGGGGGAAGAGGCGGGGCCGGGGCGGGGATTTGGGGAAGGGATCCAATAGGGGCAGGGAGGGGGCGGAGTTTGGGCGGGGACTTTAGGGAAAGGGTTGGAACGAGGGCGGGGCCAGGAGCGGGAAAAGGGTGGGAGTCGGGGTGGGGCAAGGGTGGAATCAGGGCGGGGCCAGGAGTGCGGGGGGGCATGAGCCCCCACCGGCACCAGAGAAAGTTGGCGCCTATGTGCTGTGCCCAACTTCTGTTTGGAATGTGCACTTGTTGGTGGGCAACTTAGGAACTCAAAGCTAAACCTGCAAGATCAGACAAGCAGGACTTGATTTTCTAACATTCTAATGGGCAGTTAGTGATCTCTTCATCAAGTCAGCAGTGGCAGGACTGGATTGGTCACCAAAGATGAAGATGCCATTATATACAGTAGAGGAACAAGATCCACAACTAATTAGGGAATGGTGTACCACGTACTTCCTGGGGTTTAAGGTTTTGCAAACTGCCCCGGGTGTTCTGTGTGTCACCAAACAAGTCTGCAATTGATTAAACCTTTTTATCCATGCATTACATTCTAGTTTATTTTCACAGAGATTCAATTAAACTTCCTTTCCTCCCGCAATGTTTTTCTGCCTATAGGGAAGCCTGTTCTAGGGGGAAAATGCAAGCCACAAAGCAATCTATGCATAATTCTCTGAAGGTTTTGATGCCCATGAAATCTTGAGACAGCGAGCTGAGCTGTTGCTGCTAAGAATCGTTGAGTGCACATGGGACTGCAAGTTGCTGCAGCATCTACCACCAGTGACTTGAACCTGACTCTACAGATTCTGTGCCAGTTGCTCTGGTGTCCTTTCCGCATGTCTGAAGTTCCCTAATTACCTTGTTATAGTGCTGTCATCTGTCAAGTCATGCGTTTTCAACTAGGGAGTAAACTTGTGTTTTATCAAATCCAGGCAAATCACATACTTGGAAAAGACTGAGTTCCTGACCCAATTCTGACCCTATGAATGCGTTCAAAATCAAGCACAAATGCATTGACTCATCACTAAAGCGAATCCCCCTGTTTTTAGCCAAGGTATACAAAGCCACAGTCTTCTCTCAGTGATTCCTGTGCCATCTCAACAACTTCAGCATCATTAATGTCAATGAGGCTGTACAAGTGTAACAGAGGGCAGAATTTGGCCCATCAAGTCCCCCAGGTGTGAATTAGTACAGACACACAGTACTCAACAATCTGAAAAAGCTTCTTCACCATTGGGAATTAATATGGGCATTTTTCCTAGTTCAGAACTAATATATGACATAAATAACCAACAGCCACAAACGAAGATACTCCAGTCCGCAAGCTGGGCTGCATCAAAGTTTCAGCTATTCATCTGAGCTGTGTGTGGCTAGAAAAGTGTTTGATTTTCTATCAGCACTAATATACCACAGCCTGCCAAACAGCTGCATTGACCTAGATTTATAGGTGTCCCAATTTATTGGACTTAGTTTTGTATGAAAACCATAATCCCCAAATCTGCTCCAAGGCTTCACTTGGAAGACCTGTCACTGTACAACAGCAATCATAGCTTCTACGGGGCAAAAACCTTTGATAAGTGTCTGGTGGACAAACACTTTCTTAAAACAAGATACTGAAGTTTATGACTAACTCAGGACCATTAGCATCATCCCACATTGGGATCTCATCTGGTGACTGCTACCCTATCCAGTTCCATTAGCAGTAAAAGGATCTGAATCAGGTAGGTTCCAAATTCAGTAGTGATATAAATGATGGGGTAAGTTATACAATGGGTGTCAGTCAGGCTGGCTGAAATTGATGAACTAGAGTAAAATGTACTAGTTTGGCATTAAGTGAACAGGCAAAACAACTTCAGCCAACGTGATATCCACACCAGCTTGGCATCCTACAGGTAAATTGGGAATTGTGTGGGGATAGGTAGAGTGGGGGAGATCTTGCTTTTATTTCACAGCTTCCTGTTAACTGTTTGTCCTCCTACACATATCCCTTCTGTCCCCCAAACACTCAGTTACGTGTTATTTGCGCATCTACGAAATGCCTAATTGGTGAAATTTATGCCATTTGGCCACTGACATTACAACATGTGTAAATTACAATTTGTGTAATTGGCACCACTGAATTTGGCCCACAGACTCTCACGGGTGTTACCATTGATTGCTCGAAGAAGCATTTTGCTGAAACTTGCCTTGGTCCTTTCTAATGAGCACAGAGTAACATGCCTGCCTCCACCTTTGGAGAGTCTGCAGAAGTTAACAGAGGTGGTTACAAAAATCCAGAGTCTCTGACCCATTTGAAATCCACACTTGAAGGGCAACTGTCAACTTAGATTTTTTTTTATCAGAATTCTTAAAAAAGAACAGTTGCTGACAGAACCCCATTAAATAGCATGTTCTGATTTTTTTTTTAAAGATGCCTTTGAAAATATTTACCTTGGTTCATGTACATAAGGGTTTTTTTCATCAAAGGAAAAACTGAGTAACTGACTATTTGGAGGAAACTTTGAGAGTGATTGTAAACAGCGTGTTGTCAAATGTACAAAATAAACTTAAAAAATAGAGAATCATTTTTACTGCCAATATCGGTCGGTTATAGTTAATTTAGGTGTTACTTGGAAGCATAATAGGTACACCATTTTCAGACAAAAATGTGGTTTTACCAAGTAGGAAACTTCCTTTTAAGAAAATGGCCAGTCAGACTGTTCAAACATACAGATTATTGACCAGTTTTACTGACTACAGAGAAAGATGCAAGTACCAAGTCATCCTTGATTATAGACCATCACTGGTTGTGTTGTAGTTCAGTTATGTGATGGAGCCAATCAGTCATTTTTCCAAAATACTAATATGTTAGGTCAACATAAGCTAAACTGCATGAAGAGAACTTTTGCTGTAGCAAAGCCGTTTAGCTGTGTTTAGCATAATGGGATTCTGGTCCACGATGGGGATCCTAGGCACTATGATAATACAAATAATAATAAATATCCAGCTACCTTGGTATAACATGCTTATGTATTGTACTGAGTGCTATAAGGGGCAAACAAACACCAGCCGCACACGGCATATACCTACATAAAATAAACAAACACTGACTGCTGCTCCCATATGACATTTTGATTAGAAACTTGAACCTTCAGCTCCAAGAACCCAGGTTCCCCAAGAATGTGGGATGGCTGCCATCTTCACTGGCACATTCAAAATTAGACCAGGAGCCTCCAGAGCTAAAAGCTCTGCAGCTTGCGCTCAAAAGCCAGTGCGCCCTATCCATGCTGTACCAGACGTCTATCCTTTACGGACACGGCACAGAGTGGGGACCTGTTATGTGCACCCTTCCCCCCACCCCCCAAAGCATAACACTTTATATAAATTGCTATTTAACAATGTCGAAGTCCATCATTAACTGTTAGCAACATAATCCTATGATCAGAGCTTTTCTCACACCTGTGTGGCGAAGCAATATGGAGACCACTCATCTGTGCTGGCAAACTGGATTCGACATTGTTATTTGGATAGAGTCGCGTTGGATTATTGTACTGTAAGTTCAACATCTGTTTGTTGTCAGTGGGGCTCCCTCCGGGAGCGTAGGGCACTGGTCTTCGGCTCTGAGTGGGCCCATTATCCTAAAAGAGAGAAGAAACAGAAAACGGTGAGGTACATGGCCCCAGTACTAAACAGCCATTCCGGCTATTCTTCGCAGCCTAGAACAGCATTTCATTTGTTGTTGTAAATAAGCAGAGGAAGAGAGAGAAATTCACCAGGAAAAAGGAAATTCACTTTTGACCCATAATTAGATCTTGCTGAACCTGTACAGCTTTCATTGGTCTAATTAAATAAGCTTGACTGTTTCTCAATATTTACCCATTGCTAATTATTTCGCATTTCTTCATTTCCCCCATATGATCAATATTTATCTGTCCTGTGAAGGAAGAAAAAGGGGCATGACTCACATTTCAGTTATACCATTTCATAGTACAGTTGTGCACTGTTCCGATTTACTCCTGATTCACACTGGTGCAAGCAAGATCAGAATCAGACCCCTGGGCTATGTATTCAGGTTACACAAGAGCCCAAATAAAGGGCCAGATCCTGACACCCTTTCTCACCTTGAATAACACCTTACTCCACAAATAGTTTAATTCATTTCAATGGGACTACTCTTGAAGTCAGGTGTTACTTGAAGTGACTACGGTGATCAGAATGTATCTCAAGCTAATGATTTGGTATCTATATTTACATTTTTTTGCTGGCTTTTTAGTGCCTGAGTGAAAATTAACATTTTGCAAGGCCAAACTGATGGAGGATCTGGTCTCTTTGTGGTATTTCCACCAAACAGGAACTGAAGCATTGTAAAAAGACTAGTTTTCATGTTATTTCAGCTATACGAAATATTAACAAAGGCTGTAAAAACCACGGACAAATATTTGATCCTGCGCAGACCAGAAGGTACAAAACACGTCAGAAGTAACATTTACTGCTAGAGGTGCTCCCTGCCAAGCAAGCTGTACCCATGTTTTATCTCCTCTTTAATATCCTGCTTTGCGAGCTATCAGTAGAAAGAAGAACCATGGTATATTGACAAGGAAAGACAGGTTATTTCATATCCAATTATCTAAAGCAGCTGAAAACCAAAGGGCAGTACTCTTCCATTTGCCCTGTGCTTGTTAGTTCCATTTGTGCTAGTCAGGTTCATGTCTGTATGGATGGAAGAATAGACATTTACAAGAGAGACATTTTAATTGTAATGTATTCTGGGCTGGGCTCCAGGAGCTACGTTGATTTATACCAGCTGAGGATCTGGCCCTCAGTTTTCAACATTCTTGTATATTTAAGGCTCGTGAAAAGCTAAGGAGAAAAACCACATTGTGACCACGTAATGGAGTGCACAGTTTGGGTTCTATTACCAGGTTTACTTTTGACTGAATTCATCCAATAAATGCTAATTGGAAACAAAAGTTTATCACTGGCATATAGAATGAAATAATTTTATGTCCAAGTATAGTAAAAATTAATTGGTAAGAAAAATAAAAACAGACCCAGCTAGAGGCAAGGTTTTTAGCATCCAATCCTGAAATTCTTCCTCGGGCAAAACTCTTAACAATATCAGTGGGATTTTTGCCTGAGTAAGGACAGCAAGATTGGGGATATATGGCCTGATCCTGCAACCACCTAAGCACGTGAGTAACTATGTATGTGAACAGTCCCATTGGATTCAGTGAGACTATATGTATGCATGAAGTTACTTATGTGCTTAAGTAGTCGCAAAACTTGGGCACTCTTTGTAATGCTATTTCGGAGACATATGGAGGAAATAATTGCTTCCAACATACGAGATCAAATTATCTGTTAAAAATAATTTATCTGCTGGGAATAATAGTTCTGTTTTTTCACCCGAATGATTCTTTAAAAAAAAAACAAAAAACCATCAGGCCACAGTTCCCAATTCCCAGATTTACAGTATTATTTTAAGGGAAATAAAGCAAATACTTTCTACCATGCCCCAGAGGGGAAAAGGAAGGCCATAAATGTTTGAGGGAAAGCAATAGTGTAAATTGGCCAGATGGTAAATCGTTTTTAGTAAAAAGCCATTGGTTCTTTGGAAGCCAATCCTGTAAATGTCTATGTCAAATAGGTCTGAAATTGCATTTCACCCCAAGGAAATTGAATGCTACCCTTTCCTAAGTCAGATGAAGAATGAAGAAACCACAGAGCAACAGACAGAGGCTAGTCTGGGTCATGACTGAGGTTTGACACTTCTGTTTTACATGGATGAGCCACTCAGAACTATGGGCCAACTGTCCCCTGACAGATGCATGTGCAGCTCCCAGAGAAGCCAACACAAATACAACATGTGTGTCCATGGGAGAATTTGGATTTAAATTATTTGGGCTGCATGTTTCCCTCTACTACGGAGTAGAGTGTATCTGCTTTGGAGAAGAGTGCAAGTTATCTGAGAGCATTATGCCACTGACCCAGTGCATGCTCTCATTCCATCCCCGCCCCATTGTAGGTACACAGTGAGTAGTTAGCGCTCTGCCGTGATGGGGTGTGCTGGAGGCAGTGAAACCAGGCTAGACTGCAAACTCATCTAACTTTAAGGGTTCTCAAGAGTAAATCTGCCTGGGGATTAATTCTTGTTCAAGCAACATTCTCTTCTCCCAACCATCTTAACCCTTCTCCCTTGCACGCGGGCACAGAGGGAGGGGATCTTCAGTGGCACAGCTCCTGATGGCATCCAAGCAACCATAGAGAGGAGCTGGAGAAGAATCCTTGTTACCTTTTGTGCAGGTTTGGGATCCCTCTCCTTCTTGGTTGGAAGAAGCAAAGGAAAGACTTTCCTGGGTTGACCCCACGGGGTTTCTAACATTTGTTTCCCTCCCCTCATCTTGTCCCTTTTTCCATACAAGGGATGATTGGGGCCTTTACCATTAAGGTAACATGGGATCGTAATCCATTTCTGGAATAAAATGCACTTTAAAGTGGGCCTAGAAAGCATGATCTCCTGGGGCTCCTTTAATCTGAGGCAGTTTGTAAACTGTCAGGCATTCATTTCTGTTGAACAAAACGATGTGTAAATCAACAGCAAATGTGTCTTAAAAAGCTAAAAAATATTGCTTTGACACTCTCCAAAGTGCACAGAAATTCAGTGTTGGACACAGATTTGTTCAGTCTTGTGGGGGCCTCCCCAACTCCGCCCGGTTAGGCAGTGCAGTCTTGGAAACATTTCTGTGTGGAGCGGTCTCAGTTTGGTGACAAGCACAAATGGTTGTGAGGCCATTTGACAAGCAATGATGTCCCTTGCTGTGGTTTTGTGGTTGAGCACCAACGTGCTGAGCTCTTGAATATCTGGCCACTTATTTCGTTGCCAGAATGGGAACTGACCCCTTTGGAAAATCTGTCCTGAGGGGTTCAGGAGAGGGGCTATAAGAGACCGGCTAGGGGAATGCCTGTGAGAAGGCAGGGCTCTGTGCCCAGGTGCTGAGGTCTCCTTGAATTCCACGCTGAGAAGGATTTTTGTTTTTCTCCAGATGCCTTTGCTTTGTTTGCATTCCTAGTTATAAAGATTCGGAAAAACCCTTGCAAACTGCTGTTCTCTCATTTCCTGCTGACTCACCCCAGTAGCTCATGGGGCCCTTCTACTGTAATGCTCTCTCCAGATTCCTGTCTTCTCAAAGGGGATTGAACTTCTTGATTGCATATTCACTGCAAAGCTGAGTCCAACTTCTTTGTTTTCAGTCTGCCATGTCACTTCCCTGCAGTCACAAACAATGAGCCTTTTGTACCACATGTAGCCCTGGTGATGTGAGGGCTGGGATTCATTTAATTTTAGTCACTACTAATTGATCTGTAGTCATTATAACCATACACGGTATGAATTGTTCATAATCACCTGCCCTCTCTGCTGTTTTCAAGGCTCTGCCATTCAGACTGACTTTTAACTGATAGCACAATGGTTATTTCCTATCTACTTAAAACCTTGGCCAGTTTTCTAGAATTTCACCTGTGGGTAACTGCCAAGTGTTGTGCCAGGGTGAAGTGAAGGAATTACTGGCTACTGGGAGGTGCAGAAGACTAGTATTGTTAGGAGCAACCATGCTTTATACTCCCTTTCCAGGGACAAGGTAGGTGAGTATTATTTTTTTTTTTTTTTTTTTGGACCAACTTCTGTTGGTGAGAGAGAGAAGCTTTCAAGCCACACCTTGTTTCTCTAATATTCTGGGACTGACATGGCTACAACTACACTGCATACTCCTTTTCCACTCAGGATCACTCTCCTGTCCCAGTACATGCTCTCACTGTGACCCGCTTCCCTTCACTGCCAGTTCTCAAACCCTTCCTCAGAGCCTGGAAGCTGACCTGATGGTGTCTCCAGACCTTGAAGATCAAAGGACCGATTCCAAGTCCTACTGGAAGATTTCAATTGGCTTAAATGGGATTGGGCCAAAATGCACAAGC